AAAACGAAGTGATGATAAAATATCGCATAAAAGACTTTTTTAATCAGGTATTTCATGTTCATATCTAACATCTGAACAGTTATATGAGTATATTTCATTAATCTTTTAAAAGCTATAAACTATAAACTGGCAAACTTAAATGTACAGGGTGAGGGGAAATCTTATTTAATTGATGAATTCTTAAGAAATTTTTGAAAATAATATAATTAACATTTTTCCACAAATTTCTCCAGATTTTTGTTTACTGATATAACAAATCAATAATGATGTAGGTGTTGATAATGAAGTACCTGCAGAAGAAATGGACGATATGAACCCTCTTGATGAAGTTATAATGATCAATGAACATGTTCCGAATAATAAAGTACCTGCAGAACAAATGGATGATATGTACCCTCTTGATGAAGTTATTATGATCAATGAGCATGCTCAGAAACGAAGTGATGATAAAATATCGCATAAAAGACTTTTTTCATCAGGTATTTCATGTTCATATCTAGCATCTAAACAGTTATATGAGTATATTTCATTAATCTTTTAAAAGCTATAAACTATAAACTGGCAAACTTAAATGTACAGGGTGAGGGGAAATCTTATTTAATTGATGAATTCTTAAGAAATTTTTGAAAATAATATAATTAACATTTTTCCACAAATTTCTCCAGATTTTTGTTTACTGATATAACAAATCAATAATGATGTAGGTGTTGATAATGAAGTACCTGCAGAAGAAATGGACGATATGAACCCTCTTGATGAAGTTATAATGATCAATGAAAATGTTCCGAATAATGAAGTACCTGCAGAAGAAATGGATGATATGTACCCTCTTGATGAAGTTATTATGATCAATGAACATGTTCAGAATAATGAAGTGCCTGCAGAAAAAATGGAAGATATGAACCCTCTTGATGAAGTTATAATGATCAATGAAGATATTCTGATTAATGAAGTACCTGCGGAAGATATGGAAGATATGAACCCTCTGGAAGAAGTAATTATGATCTCTGAACAAACTCAAGATAATGAAGTACCTGTGGAAAATATGAACCATTTTGAAGAAGATGAAATAAACGGTAATGATGAACATGAAGTTCCACACTTTGTCACTTCTAGTCTCTCAGATGATTATCTTCTAAAATTAGTTAAGGATGCACTGGAAATCGAACAAAGAAGTCCTTTCACAGATGTAAAAAAATATGGATCTGTTGTTTTAAATATGCTAAGGTCAATTTCAAACAAGAGTGTAGACCTTAACAGTGTTGGATTTAAAATTACATCCTCTTATTTTCGGCGCAAATCCTTTCCAAGTAATGAAATGAGGTATCATCCTGATGAGAAACACTTTTGGAGTTTTTTTCAGACTAATGTATGGGGAGAAGGGGATAAGAACTCTTCGTGGCCTAGGAATTTATGGAACCAACACTGTGGGAAAACAAAATCCTGATCAATGTAAGATTAATATTGCAATTCCTTCCCTGACAGAGAGAAAAAAAGACTCCACCGACATGAGCAATTTTAAGACTGTTCCAGGATTTATTGATTCATGTCTTGACCTTTTACAAACTTCAGGAATAATTGAGGTAAATCTAGCAATTGATGAGAAATCATTGTCACCAGGAGTGAGACTAGTAGAACCAGACGTGGATAAAAATGAAAATATGTTTTATGTTGAAGGGGATGTCGACTATGCAATACCTTCTATTAACAAGAACAAGGAGGATCTTCTCTACAATTTAAATCATTGGCATAAGATCTCCCCGTCCAGTTCATTTAGAGATTCATTTCTATGCATATCTTCTCTGTACAATCAACTTCATCAAGCAAAGATTAGAATTGAGAAGAGTTTGAAAGTTTTGAAATCCAAGTCAAGAATTAATTCAATCTCAATATCAAGGGAATCTGCAAATATATCAATTATCAACAGCAGTATTCATGATGTACTGGATCTTAAAGGAAAATTCATAAAACATAGTTTGCTCAATAAGACTAAGTTTCCTACAGTGCAGGAGGATGTGAATCTTGAGCTGGAAACCTCTTTTGACCAATCAATCAATCAATCGATCAATCAATCAGGTCAGAAAATTATAAATTCTCAAGATATCTACAGACTGGCAGGGCTCAGTACACTAGTTTCATGTAGGAGCGCTTGGAAGAGTTTGTTAACTAAGCTTAATGGAGATATTGTACCTCGCAGTGAACTCAGAATGGTAAACCTGAATTATCTCACTTTATTCCTTAAGATATTTGATGATTCATTGAAAGTGGTTGAACATGAGGACTTCTATATAACTTTCAACCAGCTTAGATTCAGAATTCAGAATCCATCAATAGTAGTTGCAGAAGAAGGGAGTATTGAGTATGTACATCTGTATTGTGAAGATATCGGTGACTTTACGATTTTTGATATCATAACACAGATGAGTTTAACACAGAAATCTGGTTTGTTGACTCTGAATACCGAGGAACATTTCAAAGTATATCTTTTGCAGTATACAGCTGAAATCCAAAACATTTGGAGATTTGTCAATGTTGTATTAGCAAGTATTGCTTCAGGAAACATTCCTTCTAATAGAACACAAGAAATGAATGAGCTCAAACTTATATATTCTGAGTTTGTAAAGCCTGAACCTTTGGCCACAATTCCGCTAGAGATCACGAATTTTAGTAATCATGAGATTCCTGCAAGTTATAACAATTCTCTAAATTCTGGTTGTAGAATCAATGTCAAAATTTTAAAGAAAGATGAAATACTGATCCAAGGAACTGAGCTGTCAAGGTGCCACTTTGATAATTTATTCATGGAAACCCTGAAGAAAGTAACTGTAGCTTTATTGCCACCTGCTACCCACATCTTGGTAGCAATGGTAGACTCTGTATATGGTAAAGCTGGAAAACATGTTTCTGACCTTCCAGTTTTTTACTGCAGAACTGGAAAGGGATATTCTGTGAAACGTGAAATCAAATGTATAGTTGATACAGTGAAAGCATGGTTAGCTGAGAAAAATATTAGAGTGGTTTGCTTTGCCGCAGACACAGCTTTCCATAACATTCTTTCAGTTCAGAACCACTCAGGAACACCGAGTAATTTAATTGGCTTGAAATTTGAAGAAAGGAAGAAATGGAAGCAAAATTTTAATGTTACATTGAATGAGCTTCTAAAAGCTTTACCAACAAGAGAGAATGGACTGAGGTTTGAAGATTGTCAAATCCCTTACACCTGGACCCAGCAAGAAACTTGTAAGGTTGACTGGACTGATGTACTTAACCTCAAATTTCCCGAGCTTGGAGATTTTGAGGATATAGATTGCCTCAAAATTCTGGATGCGAGCCCTGAAGACATGGCAATACCTCCTGAAGTGTTAGAAAATCTATTTGATGATGGAGAAGTTATGGAAGATACTACAGTTCAGGTTCAGGTAGCTACAAAATAAAAGAAATTATTGGGGAACATAAACAAATTTTTGTTTAGTAAGTATGAAACAGGATTATCAAACTTGTCTTTTAATGTACAATTTTTAGTTTTTTTCTTCTCCCAGATCTTTTTAAAAATCATTCCCCTCCCAGGGAGGGGGGGGGGATAATTCTTAAAAATATACAACCATGTTTTTATTTAATTTTTTTTTCTTTCTATTTTTGGATAATCTTTTAAAACAGTGCAAACTATCCAGTTATTTGACGTTTGGTCCACATATTTTTGGTGATCTGGATTCTGGATTCATGGAACTTAAATGTTGTGTATCCAATTATTTAAGCCCTGCTAGATGCTCAGTAAGAATGAAACATTTTCAAGAATGATAATAATAATTTTCTAGGACTTATTAGGCTATGTTACAAAATATATTTCTCACATTCCTTAGGAATTAAGATTAATTTGTATAAACGTTTTTCCCCATAGCTTCATAAATTTTTAGCTTTTTGATTTCTTTCAACTGATTTGAGCTCTAATATTCAAGGCCATTAATGAATAGAAATTTTCTTTCCAAACTCTTCATTTTCACTTTTCATTGTTGCAGCATTGGAAATTATGTTTTATAGACATGTCTTAGATTTCCTAGAAGAATATTATTCTGGTTCTTAAAAACTATTTAGGCTAAATATTTCAATTACAATACATGTGTATATTATCACAAAATGGTTGGTTGCGATAGACAAGTCTTATATTTCAGGCTATACCAGTGAGAAGAAAACCCTGTTCAAATCCAGAAAAATTACAACTTTTAGCAAAGAATGCTGTTTCAGAACAAAAAGAACTAATTTGTGCAACTGTGGCATGGATGAGTTTCATCAAAGTTATTAAAGAGTTCCAAAAAAATTCTACATCTAATACCCTTCCATTTGCTGAGTTTACAAAACAACCTCTCCCCACGTTAGCAGTTGTGGACAGAGTTGTATCTGGAGGTTTTATTCATCTAGGTAAGTTTTGCTGCATAATAAATGTTAACAGTGGAGTTGATTTTTATTATTGTTAAACAACCATTTTAGTCAGTATTATATCATTTAAACTTTAATATTAAACATGATTGTTAGGTTTTGTTAATTCAATTGAATAATTATTGTTTGGTTTATTGAATTTGTTGTCAAAGAAAATGGTTTCAATTATGAATTTGAGATTAAACTGAAGAGTGAAGACAGAATATGTTGAAAGTTTTTGATTAATTCATATATTTGTAGCATTTCTTCAGTTACCCAACTATTTGTGCTAATTTACGTGTCAAATTTTTTTTTTTTTGTAGAAGCTATGATAGAAAACATTCAGCAACTCGAATACGGTCAAATATTTGTTCTAAAGAAAAAGTTCTGGGAGGATATAAGGTAAAATATATTTAAAACTTACTTTTTATATATTTAAATCTTTAGACAAAAAATTATAGATTTAACATTTCCCCTCAAAGCAGGCTAATCTTTTAATTTTATTTCAGAGGTGTTTTGAGGACACTGCCCGCTCAGGGTTAACTCAGTTAACCTTAGTTAACCTTAGCCGATATTGTTGACCGGACAGACATGCAGGCACGAATATGATAGTAAAAATTAAAATTGCATTTTTGGGACTTCATTTCAGCCTTTATAACAATTTGCAAGTCATGAAACAGGATGAACTTTGAATTTCATATGCAAAAACGGAAAACATATTTTGTGTATAACAGGATGATACTCGAGCGTGCATTATGTTCTCTCTTCAAGTTGAAGCCTTTATGCGTTACAGGGCATTACAAACACGTGAAAATACATCCTTATCTCAGAAATACAAAGACTCTTCGAATGTCTGCCGATTTGTTCGCCTTTACTACTCAGTCCTGCGATCTAGCGGAGTAACTGCAGAATGTAGGATGAAGGTGTTGGGATATTTAATCGTTCGTATAAATGATATGATTAAATTGGAAGATTTTCTACCTTGGGAAGGAGAATATGTTTGCGGAGTAGCTCGGCATACATTTGAGGAATTATGCTTACACTTTTTTCGAATTGTCATAAGTAAACTTCTCTGAATAGTCTGGAAAATATAATTTGAAACTCAAAAAAAACTGTAAGCATAATCCAGGGTATCGTAATTAACTGTTGGAACAGGTTATTCATCGATCAATTCCATCAAGCTAATCACCCAAGATGTGTACAATCATCACAATACTGTGAATATTTCTTTTCAACAGGTAAAATAAAAATTAGAGTAGAAAAAATTCTTGACAATAGAACTTCCTAATCTCTGTTGATAAGTTATTGAAGAATTGAGCTTACATTTATACAACATGTGAATATTAACTTTTTCAAGAAGTCGCATTCAACAGTGAAGATTTTTATTTTTGTGGGGGGAGGCTGTTACAAGAAGATTTAAACCCCTGAATGCATGTTATAAAGTATATTATCAGTCTATCTTGCTGTTTTTGTTAAAATGTCTTACAATACATGATTTTATGTAATCTTTCTTAAAAAAAACCTTAGTTCATAGTTGGGAAATAAATGAATTTTTGGGTTAAAAGGTTCAATGAAGGTTAAAAAAGTTGTCTTTTGATGTCCCATTTCTAAGTTTTTCCCTCAAAGTATCTGAAATCACCTCCGCCGGGGGACAATATACCCCTGGTGGGAAATCATTCTCTATTAACAAATTGATGCAAATGTTCAGTTACTCAGCTAAGCAACTCGCCGACTGGAGCTCCTCTTGGCTCCAAAATTGATAAAATCATGTCCCGAGCCATCCTTACCAGAAGGATGCAAATTAAGCTTGGAGATTGATTTTCATATCTTCATTCCCATAACCCAATATATCGACAGGTACCATGCACATGTTTATGTAGAAGGAATTAGAAATGTAATAAAACCTCCTATGGTGGGGAAATTGATATTCGAAATGGGAAAAAGTATTATTTTACATGGAAGAGGGTCAAAAGAGATGTTATATATGTTTATTATTATTGAATTGGATTTTTAATTTTTTGGTTAAAATACAGGGTGAGCAAAAATACCTGGATTATCGATGTTTTTACATATATTTCAAAAATTAATTTAGTTTTGTTTCGAGTTTGGGCATAAAAATAACAAAATGAGATGAAAACTAAATTTCAAATATATTTTTGGAACATTTAAAAAAATCATGAAACTATTTGTTTAAATGAAATTTTTAGAACACTTTATTTAAAAAAATGTTTATTCTATATTCTTCCAAAATTTCATAAAAATTCATTAAAAATTAAATAAGATATAACATAAAATCTGCAAAAATTTGTTTTTTTTGAGGGACTGCGCACACCAGGAAACTTATAATTAAAGTCTTGTATAATTTCATTTTAAAACCCTTTTCTTCCTCTTCTCTTTGTGTATCCTAGGACTAAAAAGACCATTTGAGCTTAAGAAAATTGAGCAACCATGTTAATGTGCCCTCTCGGTTAAAATGAAATGCTAGCAGATTTTCACATTGTAATTGTTGCGGATTTTTCGTAATATCTCTTTCAATTTTTGATGAATTTTTATGAAATTTTGGAAAACATTCAAAAAATAATTTGAAATTCTTTTTATCACATTTGACAATTTTCTTTTTTCCAGGAAATAAATGAGGATATAGAGACAAGGAATCGAGTTTATAGGAACTGCACTGATATTCCTGAACTCACTTGTGAAATTCCAGCTGATCATGCTGTGAATAAGGGAAAGGTGAGCCATTTTATAATATATATGATTTATAGATTAAGAAATGATTTATTTCAAGAATTTCCGGTTGGAAATTAACATGTTTATCAGAAGCACTTATGAATATTAACATTCCACACTGATTATGATTTTTTTTAGTTTGTGTCAGAGTTTGACTACCCCCGTAAGTCGAGAAAGTTAGGCTATCAAATATCGAATCTAGCTACTGTCAGGGATATGACCATTGATTTTTTTTATTTTCATGATTCTAACCATAACTCTTTCATTATACTTTATTTTCTTAGAATTTTAAATCAGTGGTGTACGATTCAGGCATTTTCACCGAAAGAAGGTATCTGTGCAGTATGCCGAAAGAGCAGGAACAACAGTAGCTGATGTGTTGACTAATTAATCCCAATTATTTGAATATCTTAATAAACCCGAATTTTTAGTTAAGATAAACAATGTCAACCTCAGTCGACCGAATAGTTCATGTTTGTTCACACTGTTTGCAGTTTTTTAGTCATCGGCATGAAAAAAGGCAGGGGTATATATATTTTATGGCTTTAAAAAAAGAAATGGACACCTTTTAGATAAATTATTCCAAGAAAAATGAGTTTATTTGTAAAGAAACATAAAAACATACATATAAAGGGCAAAAAAGAAAATTACAGAACATTTTTCTGATAATTTCTGGTTGAATATATACTCTGAAAAAAAGATGCACTCTGAATGAGGAACAAAATGACCCAGAAGTTGAATGCACAGTGTGCCTGAAAAAATTTGTGTAGGTTTTTTTTCTTCTAAAATCCATTGTAAGAAATATTGTTTTCTTTAAACTACAACCCCCCCCCCTTGATTCATTGTCCTGTAATCCCAATTTTATATTTCCCTTTTTTCCTCATTTATGTTTCAAATGTAAACTTCTAACATGTCATTGAAAACAAGGGCGGATACAGGGGGGTGGCGGGGGGACATTTGCCACCCCCTGACAGATTCAGGAAGGGGCGTAGCCCCTCCCTGAGATTTCGAGGCAAAAAATGTTCCCAATTTTATAAATCGAATGTTTTTTTTTTTAATTTCAAGCTTTTTTATTTAATGGAAATCTTGACTTTCTTTTCTTCAGTTTAATTTAAAAATCAACGACAACAAGTAAATGTTATTGTTAACGATAGATTTAGAATTAGAAATTTGTAAGAAACTAGACTTAAGTTATAATATTGTTCATATATGTTCCTTAATCAATACTCATTTATCAAAATTGAATATTGGTCCTAATTTTGATGCATTTAAGTATAACTAGTAATTTCTTTTTGTTTTTAAATTGCTAATGTTCCTATTATTGTTTTGCAAATTCTACCCAATCAGAAAACGCAGGTATGAATTTTCTTTTCATTTTTTTTGTCTGACATCTTGATCACAAATATTTTTTCTTATTTATAAAATGACCGCCAAAAATGCTTAAAAAATTTGTGATCATAAAGAATTAAATTTTAAAAAATAATTTTTAAAGAATTTGATTTTAGTAAATGGATCCAACAGTTCTTAATCCCTGAACGGAGTCCGCCCCTGATTGAAAAATACAATTTTAAAATTGTAGGCGCCGTGAACACCTGAAGAGGCATATGCGGTACCACCATGCTTCTGAAGCCAGCTCGCCTCCAATCTCCTCTCCGTCAGGGGTGTATATTCTTTCTGTAAGTTGATTTCCCTCCCCCCCCCATATTAATAAGTTAAAAAGCAGTAAAACGTTCTTGTTTACAGGAAAATGTTTAATTCAAGTTACTAACAAGAACAAAATGTTGACGGACAAATAAAATTTTTCTACGTTTTTTCACCTTTAAGTTTTCATTTCAGGCGGATTTTGTCATAAATTTCAAATTTTTTTTATTTCTTCAATTTTGTGGAAAATGAATTCATCTCGTTAAACTTTATTTCAATTTTGTTTTGATTTTCCAGTACACTTGTAACGAAGCATATTCAATCTGAATTACTTTTCCTATTTTGACTTTCAAAAAAAATTATAGGGAAGAGAATCACATTTAGATTGAAAACCTTTTATTCTATTGATTTATCAGAAACTAGAAAATTCAAACAAAATTTTCCCTGTTTGTTTCATTTTATTACGGCCAAGTAACTAAGAATTTACACCAAGGCTCTCCTCCTGTCTTCTCTGTTCCAAGCTCTTCATCAGTATCCTCTCCTACACTTTCATCAACACCCTCTTATATCCACAGTAACATACTCTCTGGTACTTCTGGTATTTATACACTTTCGTTGTCTGGTTTAAATACACATCTTCAATCTGGAACATTTACTCTAACCCTCACTGAACATACTCATTCTGGTACACCCACTTTAACTGATCATTCATATAACCACACACCTGATTTCTCTGGTAATTCTGGTCCTGTAACACCTGCTTTCTCAAGAAACTCCTCTGGTAATTCTGGTACACCCACTTTAACTGATCATTCATATAACCACACACCTGCTTTCTCTGGTAATTCTGGTCCTGTAACACCTGCTTTCTCTGGTAACTCTTCTGGTAATTCTGGTCCTGTAACACCATCTTCTGCATCCCCTCCTATTCCTCCCCCCAGGTGCGAGCAGTGCAATCGGATATTTTTCGGTAAGAATTATGTATAATAATTATTAATTCATTTTTATAAAGAACCCGTGTCAAGTAAGATATTTTGTAATATCTCTTTCAATATTAATAGCAGTCGGTTCTATTTTGAAATGTAGAATCATTTGTTAGGAGCAGGATATGAAGTCAGATTGTCGATATCTCTTTCCGGAGTCTTGGAACCTCTGAACGAGGCCGAAGATAAAAAAAATCGGAGCCGACGGAGGTAACTTTTCAGAGGTTACAAGACTCCGGAAAGAGATATCGACAATCTGACTTCATATCCTGCTCCTAACAAATGAGTCTTGGATTTGTTTAATACTAGTTAGTAAATGTCAAACCATCAATCAAACTTTTTTTTTAGATGAAAGAAATCTCAGAAAACATCTGGAAAGAAAATTTTCCTGCTCCCGTGAGACAAGCACAAAAAACAAAATTTGTATTTTTTGTAATAAGATTATTTTAAGTAAGAACATGTCAAGACATGTGAAAACATTCCACTGTAAGTATAAGCCTAGTGAACAAATATTTTGTCCAATTTTAATTTTCGCTTTCAATTTTTTTGCAAATTTCTTGTATCATTACAAGATTTTAAATAATATGGTTTCATTTTGACATTGATCCAACTTCGTTCTGTAATCAATGGATCCTGATCCAGCTGAAGCTTATTTTTTATTTTTATTTTCAAGTCAAATTTTTCATAAATGTCTGAAAATTTGTATGTTTAAAATCAGTGGTTAGGATCCATTCAGTTTGATGCGGATCCGGATCCTGGACCCGCACTGGAAAAAAATGGATCCGGATCCATATTAGTGGATCCGCATATTTTTGCGGATCCGGATACAGGAACCTAAAATCTTGCGGATCCAACGAAATCCGGATCCAGATCCTAAGCACTAATTAAAATTTTTTTTCTAAATTTGAAGGTTTTTTTGTTACTTATTAACACTGAAAAAATTTTCTGATGTTTGGTTTGATATTTTTTAGTTGAATCATGGGTTCACATAGTTTTGTGGATTAGGAACCAGTTATTCTTTACTCGAAAATGTACAACATTAAATGGTTTTATGTTCACTAGAGCTTTTATTTTCAGAAACTAGTAATATGAATTAGATATTATATAGAGTTATGAATTCTATGAATTATATGAATTTATTATGTATATGAATTACATATTACAAATATGAATTTAATATTAATGTATTGTATATGAACTGATATCATTTTGTTTATAATGAAATACACCATATTTTTTAATTTTAAGTCATTTTCATCAATTATGTGTTTTATTTTTTTTTTGGTATGCCATTTGTTGCTTTAATTTTTGTTATGGTTCATTTAAAATACAAATTTTATTATATAAAGCAGGTATCGAAATATTTGAAGAATGTAAATACAGGGTTACCCACTAAAGATGAAACTTAGGAGACGTTAAGAATTTATTAGAATTTTTTTTCAAAAATGTATGGTATCTTTCTTTGCCAAATAATTGGCATAACTTTAAAACATTAATAAAACAAAAGCCAAATTTAAAACTTAGATCGTCAAATTTGAAAAGCACGGATGGTCTTAGCTAAAGTCTCATTCCTTGTGGGTAACCCTTGAAAACGGATACACTTAGACGTTTTAGAAGTCTTGTGTTTTTTAATAATCCTAAAAACTTGCGAAAATACTCATTTCAATTTGCTCCAGTTATTTTGCTGACAATCCTGTGGATTGTATTTACCAACTTGGAACATTTAATTACTGAACAAAGTTAACTAAATGAGGATTATTCCACAATGAAGACCTACACCTCGAATCAGACCTTCTAACATCAACGAGTAGTCATTTATTAATAAACAAGTTAATTAGTAAAACCATTAGTTGGGAAAGAATGCTTACTGTAAAAAGCTATTAAAATCACAACTTTATTAGCGGGAAGCAACGGAAATATCCATTTCCCATTTTAAAGATATCAGAGGGGCTTACACGCATTTTTTCACGGGGGGGGGGGGGGCCAGGACTTCAATTTATTTTTCTTTCAAGGGCTTCTAATAATAGAAAGAGCCTGCATATCATAAGTAAACCACAGATTTCTCTAATCCAGGAGGGGGACGAGCCCCCGTAGCCCCCCCCCCTTGTATACAACTATTTAAACTTAATTTTCTATTTTAAGCAATGACCTTTTAATTTAAAACAGGAAATAAAAGGTAATAAATATAATTCTATGAATAGTGTCATACTTGAGATCCACCCTTTTTACGGGAAAACAAAATTTGGAGAAAAAGTCAATTAAAACAATAATAAAAATTATTTCTTTAACTTGATTATTATATTTATTGAGTCCATATGTCGAGAAAATT